CATAGTCATTTTCCCATTCTGGTGGGTCGTACTCAGGCGCTTTGACCGTCTTTAGCAACTGCGGTATGGTAAGTACAGTCTTGCCTTCCAGCGTGCGTGTTACAACATTGTGTTGCATTTCTCTAGACTTGAGGTGAAGACCAGAGAAGGATTCAAAACTGGGCGCATCTGTACTGTCGTCGCGCGATGAGATCTCGGCGTATCTTGAAGCGGTTGGGGTCGTGCCAAAGCTGCTAGATGAAGATTTGGAAGCGGATGATGTCGGGCGTGCGCTCTCAGGTCTGAAGGACATTGTGGATCCTGGCCGTGGAGTAGGTGGGTTTCCGAATGTCCGGTTTTGTAGACTTTGTGTTCGGGCGTGAGTCCTGGAGGCGGGTGGTGGCATATCGCGCGAGCTCTGGTCGGAACTCGTTCGTGAGAGTGAGGGCCGATCTTTGATTCCTTCGATGTTCTGCAAGCCAAAGCCCCTGCTCCTCCTCTGCTCAGCCCTCTCTTCCTTGACCTCACGCTCCTTCTCCTTGTTCCTGCTTTCTGCGATGCGTTCGCTGAAGGACTTGATCTTTGGCGTTCCTGGACCTTGAGACGAACCCAACCGTGACAGCCGCCCAGGGGTCCCCGGCCGCTTGAGACTAACATCACGGGCAGTGAGTCCCTTGTCTATGCCCAACATGACCCGCGCAGGGCTCTTGGGCTCGGTAGGCGGTTGGCGGGTCCGGACTGGTGAGCGTGGCACCTCGACGTCGTTGTCGTGTTTGCTGTCGGGGCGCGATAGGTCGATTCTGCGCATACTGGTGGCCATGCTGGCTCGCGACGATGCGCCGTTGCGGTCCATGTCCAGCGACTCATTCTTCTTCTTCTGCAGCGCCTTCAACTTCAGCTTGGCCTCGATGGCCTGGAGCTGCAGCTGAAGCGTCTCCTCGTCCTCCTCTCCATCGCTACCGGCTTGGACTCCTCCGCGCGACATGGGGCGGCGTTTCGAGGGAGATGGTGAGGCCGAATCGCGCTGGCGGCGGCTCTCGTACTTTTTACGTCCGGAGGGCGAGCTGAGAAGGGCTTCGACGGACGACTGCGGGGGCCAGTTGGGTTGGTTGTCTTTGACTGTGACAAGAGTCAGCGCACGCTCAGCACCGTTGGATTCGCTACCAGCCTCACCTTTTGACTTGGGGCTCTCCCGCACGATCATTGTTGTGATGGTGCAGTATTGATTGCGGGAACTCGCAGCGGCCCATAGCAACGCCAATACTACAGACGGGAAAAAGCAAGAATCTGGGATCTTCAGGCAGGAATCACAAGCGCATAGCCGGGACCCGTTGGCGTTTGTTGACACCGGACTGTGGTTCACCCCAGACTAATCTAACTCGAAACCGTGACGTGACAGGGATTGCGCGTGTTGCGGTTGACCCGACCCACGCGACGCGACGGGACTTCACTTTGCGCCAACAGACTCGGTACACCACTTGCATCCCACCTGATTCAAACTAGTATAATATACTCCCGCGATTCAATTGGACTAACATACACATCACAATGGCACGTACACGCTCAAAACCAGCAAAAGCGACCCCAAAAGAATCCACGCCTGAACCCACCACGTCCACAGCCAAATCGCTACCCGAAAGCACACCGAACCCTCCAAAGCTATTCGTACTACCAAAAGACACATCAAAAGATGCGCGCATAATCAGTCTCGACAATCCCGCAAACGCCACCCCGTCAAGATACTACTTCTGCCCCGAGAAAAGCTTCTATGAATTCACGCGCATCGCAGCGCCCAAGAAGGACTGCAGGAGTTGGTTGATAACAGGAGAGAAGGCCGAGGATGACACAACAGAAGGGACAGACCCTTCGCGGATAGGCAGCGGCTACATCACCAAATCCGCCGACCTCTTCGTCGCAACACCAATCGACATACTATTCCTCATCCTCCCCGCCCTTACACCAAAGTCCGCAAAAGACACCAAACAACACTTCCTCGCCATCGATGACTACCTCGACTCGCTCTCGTCTGCCTCACCGCACTGGAAAGCGCTGTTATCACAATATCCCTCCTTGAAATCCATGATAGAAACCAAGATGCGAAGGATATGCGACACTGTCGACGCTGGCGACGAAACCATGTACCGCCTCTCCCATCCCAAACTCCTCGAGGTCCTGCTTGCAAAGGCCGAGCGCATGGTCAAAAAAGGACTTCCGCCATCGCTAGAAGAAAAGTACATTAAGACCGCCCTGGAAATTCCCGTCATGAGCATAAAGCGGGAGGAAAGCACACTTGGCGCTGTTTCGACAACAGCAGGCACAGAAGAAGAGAAGGAGAACAAGCCGACAATAACAGAGTCCCAAACAAGTGTCGAAACTAGCATAACAACACCCGACGACGACGACGCCTCCTCAAAACCCACCCTCACAACCCCTGAGGGGATTCCACACCTCCTCCGCCTCCGCACATCCCTCACCTACCTGTTCGGCGCCTACATGTTGCCATCCCTACGCACACCTCTTCTTGCGCTTCTAAGTGCCCGCTTTGCCCCTCTCGAAGCCCACCTATCCTCCATTGCAGCCCTCAAATCCGAAGCCCTCTCACTCCGCTCTCTGTCAGACAACATAAGCCGGAAACGTGCCGTTGAGCTAGACGAGGAGAAGATTGCGGAGCGGGAAGAGAAGAAGAGGAAGAAGGAAGAGGAGGCCATAAAGAAGAAGAATGAGGGGAGAGGGGTCAAGCAGTTGAAGAAGGTGGATACGAGTGGTATGAAGAAAATGAGTAGTTTTTTTACAGTCAAGCCGAAGGGGTCGTAAGTGAGATAGGTCGCGGGAGGTTGAGAAGGATGATAGCAAATAATATAAGAGAATATTAATATGCTGAGCACCATTATATCCATAGGCTCTGTATTTGAAGCAGCAATCTGCATCAGAGTTCCAAATACGTGGTCTCGGAGGTGTCCAGGGTTTGAGTTACATCTCGCTAAGGGCATCTTTTGAGTGTTTTTTGGAGTCGAGTGCGGAGAAGATATGGAGCTGTGTCTTTTTACTTCGGGGCTCGACGACGACATGTCTGCTACAAGCGCGGTTTTGATAAGCAGAAGTAGTGGCATCAGAGTGTTTCATTTTGAGTGTACAATATCGGAGTAGTATCGAGGTCATGGGATCTTGGGGCACGGAGTTCGAAGCGCGTTCATCGTTGTTGCTTGTCACGATGAGTAGTTTCCACTCCATGCATCCTTTTGGTGGATTTTTGAAAGATAGCTCAGGAAGAAAGAGCACAGCTGAAGCCATGTGTCGAAGCCACGCCTCATTTTGAGCTCCAGGACTGGAGGTATCGTAGAGAAGAGAAGAACACGATAGAATGTGGTGTCTATATACACCTGCTCGTCTGCAGAGAACACGTACAACGCGCAAGCAGTACCACAAGGCGTAAGCACCGTCCTTTCCTGCGGCGGACCTAGCCGTAATTTGACGCATTCAGTTACTGCATGCTTGCACGACATCTATTCTTCTGTAATCATCACAACCGTTCTGTTCCATTCATCACATCATGCCAATCTGTTTTTGACTTGTTGCTAGACTATTCTATGGTTCCTCGGATGGGTATACACCATTTCCTCAGAACAGCCATAGTCAGAGCATGATCGTCTTTTTGATGGAAAGAGCTTTTTTCGGTGAGGAAGAGAACAAGAGAGTGGGGGACAGACATAAACATCTAAGCCTGCATATTTTCGGAGGACACCCTGTTATTGAATGTTTTTTTTTGATTCCATCGAGGAGAAAACGTTAGGCTATGTCGTTTCACTTGCGGACTGGGCGACGATAGGCTTCGGGTAAGAAAAAAGCTCCTTTACCTCCATCGTACTCTATGTCTTCACTGCAGGGCTCTCATGGCGTCCACTCGTACCTGACTGTTCCATCGTCGCCCAGGAGGACATCTCTTGGAGAAAAGCATGATACTTGGAGGTTTGGAATCAGGTCTCTAGTGACTCTGGTAAGGACAAAATATCCTGACATCTCGATTGCTATCATCAACACAACCCCTGCGTCCTTTCATCGTGATCTTTCATTCTCTTTTGAGGGATACAGGGGAGGAACACGCTCATTACCAAAGCCGAATCCATCTTGAATGGTATAGCAATATCTCCTGAGCCTTCGACAGAAAAGCCCATCGTACGCAACGGCTCATATTTCAAAGTCGTGCAGAGTGGTCTGCCAATATTCGGTTTGGGGGAAAAGGCCGCGAACCGAGCAGAGAGAACATTCCTTGTATATCACTGCGATTTTGTTCTCGTACGCATACTCCAAAGAACAAAAGTACGTTGAGAATGCTTTCCGTGGTGTCGAACGTTAGAGATGAGCGCAGGATTCTATGCAGCCGCCTTCTATGAATCTAGGAAGCGTGAAGGGTGTAGAGGTTCCTTTGTAGTTGGCGACGGAAGAAGAGCTGAAGAAACAGACATTCGTCATGACAAACTATTTTAAATGTTCTTTCTCGGTAAAGACAGGCATCATACGGCTGACAGTAATTTTAAGAATAAGAAATTGAACTGTAGATACGAGTGAGGAAGAGCACAAGAACTCGGTTTTCTATACCTGCTTATCGCTATCGCCGACTGGCGAGAGAAGTAGAGCTTCTCTTTGGTTTGTGGCGTGAGTGCATCCGCTCAGTTTGAGGGAGGTGCGGTATGCAGTCACGCACATTACCTAGGTAATACATCACGACAGATCCATATAAGGCAGAAGTACAAGAGCATAGTATGGGTTAGTAGTTGTAGTTGGATCAGAGTCCTGTAAACCTATCTAATCCTAGTGTACGGGTATTGGAGTGATAGAAGACGCTAGTCACTTGATGAGGAAACATCTTTTCCTCCGTAGCCGGGCGAACGTGTTAGTACAGGTGTTGTACAGTTGTATTCAATCGACTAAGAGTGGAGTGGTGCCTCTGTTGGCAGCTAATATACAAGAAAAGAGCAAGAGTGTAGTTCAAACCCGACCTATCCGCCAGTGTAGGCTAACTTCTATCTGAGACTCATGTCCTGCATCTCCTCTGCCTGACTCTTCAGCACAGTCTCATACTCGGAAGGAACGAACTGAGTCAGTTCTTTCAATTCTTCAATGAAACCCATGTCCAAGTCCCAAGTACCTGGGCCATTCAGCTCAAGATAAGCATTCCTGAGGGCTGCGTACCGCAAAGACGTCTTTCTTGCCCAGGTCATGATCTCTTCACCGTGTGGGAGGATGAAGCCTATGCGACAGTTGCTCATGTCGGCATTCACGGATTTCTCTGGGCACAACAAGTATGGGCTCTGGTCTTGATTCCCAATCCCCTCGAGGTCGCTGACGGGAACTTGAGCGTCTTCCGCTATACCACCAAGTAGTCCAGTCGACTTCAACCAGCCAAAGACTCCCGGTATGTTGTCTGTCCGGCCACGCATGAGCAAGATTGCGAGCCAATACAGAGGCTCTCCGAAATGTCCTCTCATCGACTCGGTCTCCTTGGTTTTGCGACGACCTGCACGGCCGAAATCTTGTGCGTATTCAAAGAACTCAAGAGCAGTGGAGAGGACACGGACGGACTGAGATGACATGGTCCTCTCTAGCTCCATTCGCCTCATGATGCACTCTGGAGAAAGGATGTCGTAGTTCTCGAGCTCCTGCCAGACATGGATTATTCGCTCTTGCATCTGGAAACGCCACTTCAGTGCATCCATCATGATGCGTATATTGAGCACCCGTTCCTCCATAGACTTTGAATTTGAAATAGCAACTTGCATCAAAGTCCCAAACCCGTTGTCTCGGGGGTGTCCAGGGTTTGAGTTGTATTTCACCAAGGCTATCTCTTTCTTTATGATCTCGTAAGCTTTTTTCGCAGCCGCTGGTACTGCATCATGTTGGAAGTGTGGTCCGAAGGTTGAGCTAGGGGCTGGATATCCAGGATTGACAACCAAAGTGCGCTTGCTAGGTCCGGCTAGGCTGGGTTCCAGGCGAACGTAGGAAGAGTAAAGTGTTGTTATCACAGCCACATGCAGGTCAACGTTGGTGTATGCCTGTGGAATAGAGTGTGGTTCCCGGATCCAGATGCCGTGCTTACGGACGTGCTCGATGTGTTCACCCAGGGTTCTCGGAGCCTTTCCGTTGGCTCCTTCCCAATCTCCCATGGACTTGACGATTGAAGCAATGAAGGGTGAGCCTCGTAAGGGATCACTGGGAACTCTTCGTCCATAGGACCAGCTCAGCTTATCGGCTGTCGTCGAGCTCTGAACGTACTGGTGTCTCCTTCCGAGCTTCCTCATCTGGTTCACAAGCTGACCGGACCAGCAGGACGCGACGATGATATTGACCTGAACATCGAGAGTGAATCGCGCGAAGGATTCCTCCAGATCCTTACGGGACAGTGTCTGGTTTCCAACCTCGAAATCGCCATTGGGGCAACCGTGTCCAATGAAGATGAAGTTAAACCGATCGCCTGGTTTGAGCTTTCGCTGATTGATGTGTTGCAGTATCTTCTTGTCCATGTTGGTAACATTGTCCTTGGAAAAGTCTTCCCACGAAGTCTTGTCACCTTTACTGAATCGGAATGTGGGATCGACTCTGAAACCGGTTGACCCGTGGCCAAACCAAACTTCGTCTTTGTGCTTTCCTGTGCTGTATTTCGCAAAATATTCCTCGTACGGAAACATGTTCCATGCTGTGCCTTTGAAGCCGAAGTTGTTCGTGAACTCACGTTGGATAGCAAAGAAGTCGGCGAACTGCCATACATCCTCTTCGGGGTCGCTGCCACCACAGACAATGAAGAACTCTGTGACATTAGCTCTCATCTTCCCTTTTCCTTTAGGTGAGGACTCCATTGTTGTAGGGGAGGCGGAACTGGTAGTAGAGGTTCAGTGTAGTAGAGACGAGTGTAGTCGAGGTTGAGTGTGGTAGAGGCGAGTGTAGTAGAAGTTGAGTGTGATAGAGGCGAGTGTAGCAGATGCGAGTGTAGCAGAGGCGAGTGTAGTAGAGGGGAGTGTAGTCGAGGTTGAGCGTGATAGAGGTGAATGTGTATGACTGTAAAAGTTGAATCACATGAACTCGCTTGGTTGGAGTTCTGGAGATTTGTAACTCTGAGACAATTAGGAGGAAGAGAGAATCCGTGCAAAAGAACTTGTTTTATAGTTGGAGTCGGCTCGCAAAGTCCAAAATATCTGAACAAAATTACCATGCTTGATATCTAGGTAGAGAGCTGTTCGGTACCAGATGCACGAGTAGGGCATGAACTTTCCCAAGGAACTTTTGGGTCTGAACCTTGGAATCACAGTGAATATCTCGAAAGAGCCCCGTACTTTTACATGTGCAATTTGAGCAAGAAACCGCGATCCACTTATCGTACCATGGTGCATTCCAAGGTTTTCTCGCCACTATCCCGTCTATCAGCAACTAACGCAGAAAACACCCAATGTGTGAAGAAATTAGTCATGATTGAAGATATCAGGTATGAATAGGTGATCCGGGAACGGTTTATCTACACATTTTCCGGCTGGAAGAGCCAAGATCTCTCGCCGCACCAGCCTATCAAGTTGAAGGGACGAAGAGAAAGATGCCAAGGCTCAAACTGACGTCGCTCATGGTTTTTGGTACCCAGCGACTTGCACATGGCTAATTAGCGACAGGCATTCACTTTGGAGTGCTGGCAGGATACCGAATCCGTATGCTGCGGCCATAAGCTTTTAGAAGCAGAGGAGCTCAGTCATGCCATCTGGTAAAACAATTTTTAGTGCGGAGACAAAGGAGGCACACATGCCTACGTTTCCCATAGGTTTTGTAGTAAAGATTGAATGAAGTGTAATGAAGAAAGGATAACCGTACAGCGAAAATGTGAGCTTTATATCCGCTTCTTCTGCCGACAACTCCCATGACACTGCGATGTCAGTTTTTAGAAAACAGTGCTGGATGAAGCCGCGGCCAGGGACAGCAGTCTGATGTCTGGTACCGACTCCTGCCTCAAAACAGACATTGACCTTGATTTCCTGCTTTTAAAAAATTCTCTGCGTTCAACAAAAGCACTGCTAAGATGTCATACTGTGGTGTTTCTGCGTTTTCAGCTACACGGCACCAGTGGTGTACTTGGAGACAGCGAGAGAAGGCCAGCATATGGCATTTCGGTGTTTGTTTTTTTTAAGAAGAGAGATAATAATGAGTCGAATGTAGAACAATGAAGACAAGAAACAGCCGATGGAGACGAAAGGTTTTATACAGCAGCCATACGCCAAGCTTTGATCCATGTGGTGTCTGATGGTGTGTTTCCAAGCCAGGGCTGGTAATTACTTTGCTGGAAGTATGTTGTGGCTCATACCGTCGTCCATTGTAAGCTTTCAGAAGTAGAGCGCTCGCATACGCCGCCACTAGGGACGTTTTGGAAGTTTGAAAAGGCAAAGAGGGGAGAACTCATGGACTTGTATCTCCACGCATTTTGTTCGAGAGTACGATGAGCACGCATCAATATTTTTTGACATGCTTCCAGATACTCGGAAAAGAGCGCAGGGAGGAGCAGAGCACATCCGCAGGCCCAACGGGTGTTTTTGAAAAATGAAGAAATATGTAGAGTGTAGAATAACCGAATCCAGCGGACAGATTGAAGTCTTTATACCCTCAAGCTTGGCCCATGGTTTCCGCATCTTGCTCATTCCCTACCATAAGGTGACAGGGAATGAGTTTGAAAAAAAGAGCTCTGATCGATCCTCTAAGAAAATCTTTTTCGACTGTTGTGCAAAACATGCGAATCGGGCAGCTGTTTTTCGACAACATGCCGTAGACAGGTAATGATTTTAGGACAAAGACTCCCCAGATAGTTCCCATAATGTTGGGTCTGGTCAAATTTTGACTTCCACCACCGACATGTAGTAACTTTGCTGCTCTTTGGACAGCCAGCAGACTGCAGTCATGTAGCGTGTTGGTTCGTTTTTGAAGGACAGAGTGATTGACCACACATAATCGACTACTGTGCCCTTTTTGGTACGGAAGTATGTAGGAACAGCCGAGAGAAGAGGCGCACGCCATGGGATCGAGAGCCCTTAATTTTGGAGAAAATACAATGAAGGATGAAGGATGGAAGACCAGAAGAGAGACATAGAAGTGAAGAATTTATACTTCACCAGCAGGGCTTAGGCGTAAGTCACGGGAAATGGTTGAAACAACTTAGGATACTCTAAGGTCTTTCAAAGTTTTGAGATATTCAGCCTATCATACTGTAAGCCATAACAATATTTTGGTACACATGACCACCTTCATTCCGCCCATAATCATGTCATCCAAACACGAATCGAAGAATCCCAGCCATATCAGCATCTACTTCTTCGCCTTCCCTCTTGATTTGCTTCTCGTGTTCCGACTCGGCGGCGGCGTGTCCTCGCCACTATCCGCAGCTACATCCACGCCCGAACTCTCATCCTTACCTCCAATCATCCCACCGTCATCCTCCTCAGTCTCCCTGTTATCAGAGTCAATTCCTCTGTCTACACTCCGCCTGCGATGCGCATCTTTAGCCTTGCGCTCAGCCTCCCAGCCTTGCACAAGACGTGTAACGTCGTCTTCGCGGGGCTTCTCCTTTCCGTTCCACGCACTACATCCGCCGCATCGCCATCGGCCGACGTCTTCGAGGGTGCGGGCGCCAGGCGGTGCTTGTCCGTTAACGAGTCGGCACTCTGAGCAAATCAAGACGAAGCGGTTCTTAGCCTGTGTTTCGTCTTCGCCGAGGAGAGCGTCGAGGATGCGGTCGTACCAGTGGGTTTGTGTGAAGGCAGCGGGCGAGTCTTGTGTGTACTGCTTGGTCAGGTCGGGACCACCACTGAAGGCATTGGGCGCGAATTCAGCCCCGGGAGCTTCTGGTGGGGGTAGATGCTGTGTCGGAGGCGGGCCTTGGGGTGACGAGACGTTCGATGGAATCTCTTGTGGGGTAATTGGGCGGTGCTGGGACTGAGGTCGCTGGATGTTGGCCGTTGGGGGAGGTGCCATGCCAGTGCGGGGTCCTGGAGGCGGCACAGACAGTTGAGGGCCTTGAGGCTTCTTGCGACCGGGAGAGTTGCCCTGCTGTGGCTGCTCAGGTTTCTTGGGCGATGCTCCATACTTCTCGAGCAATTGTTGGGTGGAGTTGTACTTGGTGGCTTCCTTCAGGCGCTCGATGGTAGCGTCGCGTTCCTTGTTTAGCTTCTTTAGGTAGATATCGGTATTGCGAATGCGGTAGTCGAAGTAGCTCATCAGCGCGTAACGGATGCCGTAAAGTCTGGAGAGTCAGATTTGTGACCTGAAAAAGCAAAGTGTAGACATACAGTACTGGCCCGCCAGCAACAACACTGCCCTCGATAGGGCCCCAATTCTGCCATCCCGTCACGAAGGTGAGAATCATCGCAGCCAGAATGTAGGCGAAACCGGCATACAGCGTCCACATGACGCGTGCGCGTCGCGCGAGCTGCTTCTGTTTGTCATTGCGCGCGGCGGCTCTGTTGATCTTGCCGGTGAGAGTGTTGAGCGTCCTCTCGAAAGAGGCGGCATCTTCGCTACCCTGTCACAGTCAGCAATTGAACTAGCGCGTAGTTGGAACCGTCTTACCTTCCAAGGCCAGAAGGACACCATGTTGGCTCTGGTAGATCGCAGCCCGGTGTGGGAGCTAGAATTCTACCGTTGAGGCCAGCGAAGCGTGCTCGTGTGTGGACCACTTTCAGCCTTCGCGACGTCAGCGGGTGTCGGATCGTCGCCAGGGATCTTCCTAGCACGAACGATGTCACGTGCAAGCAACTTTCCTCGCGGAACTTCCGAACGGAACTGCATCTTTCAATACGCTTTTGGTTTCCTACCCACACCCCCAACCTTACACATAATGGCGCTAGTAGCTTACCGGAACCTGCTGCGATCTGCGCGCATCGCCTTCGAGGGTATGCACTGCACTATTCGAAATACTTCCGCAGCTCACACAGCACAGGCGACATGAACACCCTCTTCGCCGCCCGCGCCGAAGCCCGCAAGAAGTTCGAGTCGAACCGCGACCTGCGAGTTGGAAGTGAGGAATTGCAAGCGTCATTGGTACATGCCGAAGAAGTAGCCAAGTTCCTACGAGAGAACGTTGTTCAAGGACAAGCAGCGGCCGAACAGGACAGTTACAGTACGTTCGCTCAATTATGGTATTTGAATCGAATGCTGAAAGTTGCCAGAGCTACGGATACACGAGCACACCGAAAGAGGCGACAACGAGGATATCAAGAAGGGAAAGGGAAAGACTACATTGGGAGGAACCAAATGCTGTTCCTCCTAGGCTTTTATCCACAAAAAATAAATCATGATACCCGTACATTCCAAAACGCCGACCCAATGCAGGAGATACAAACCTAATTGCCGGCCAAACTGGCGTACTGCACATCGTCGTCCGCTCCTGGCGGAGGTGCCACAACCATGCTATCCAGACTGTTTTGTGGTGCCGCCTCGACAGCAGCTTGGGAAGCAGCTGCCCGTCGCGATGAGCCTGCCGCCTGTCGTCCTTCCTTTGCGTATTGCATTCTGACATTTTGATCCAAGCTGTCCAACTGCTTGGGCTTGCCCCAGGTTACGCGCATGGGGCAACCCTTGATGACCACCTTGCCCTTTAGTGTCCCTGCTGCTGTCTCGGCGTCCTCTCGTTTTACGTAGTTGACGTATGCGCAATGCGCTCGGTGCGAGCATACTAGCGACCGAAGTTGACCGTACTGTGAAAAGTGCTTGCGGAGCTCGTGTTCAGGAAGATCGTCTTCCACACCCGTGACGAAAAGCGATGCGACGTTGGGGTCCGAAGGTGGCAGCCAGTCTTGTGGGTTTGGCTCAGCGGATGCACCGCCCATGCGACCTCCTCTTCCAGGCCTCATGCCTCCTCGTGCAGGTGTACCTCGCGAATCTCGTGTTCTGATCGGACCAGGAATGTGACTGCTCTCGCCTCCTGCGCCGCCACCGCCCGGCGCTGGTAACGCCTTCTGGCTGCTCTCGCCCTCTTCAGCCTCTATCCGTCGCTGCTTCTTGTAGTAGGGTTCACTCTGCGCCAGGCGCTTGAGCAAGTCGCGCGCCTTCTCGTCTGTCTTCTCATACGCCTCCATCGCTCCCCGCCCCTCCTCTATCTCTCTCTCGTGCTCCTGCGCATAGTACTGGCGGTTGATATCGCTCTGTGGGCCGGGCGCTACCATCTTCAGCGCAGCATCGCGGACTACGATGGGCAGACCGAACGACAGATCGAGCATGCAGTGTTGACAGCAGTTCTTCAAACGGGCGCATGTGAGGCAAATGTTGGTTCGCTTTTGTCGCGCGGTGCGGTCGGCTTTCCAGCGGAAGATGGTGAAGGGTCGCGTGCAGATCTTGCATTCTGCGCCATAGTCCTCCTTCAGCATCTGCACGTATTGGCTATCCGGCAGGCATTTCTCGCAGACGGACGGGAAGTCGGTTGTCTCCCAACCGGATCCTACACAAGTCAGTACAGATTACTTGCGGTTAAAAAGAAGAGGATGACGTACGGTTCAGGTCGGTTTTGATTTGCGGTGGCATGGTGAGTGTAATGCGCAGGCTGTAAAGTCGTGGAAGGAAGTCGCAACGTAATCTCGCGACAGCAACGGACGTATCCTGGGTCGTGGAGTACGTGATAGTGGGGCGCAGTGGTTGTTGCGACGGCAAGTAGTGGCTTCAAGGTGAATGACAGTAGAAATCTAGGCACTGCAGTATACGGCACTTACGGTCTTGGCTTTCACGCGCTCGGGTGGCAACCACCGACCGCTAGCTCCGTTGACCAGGGCCGCGTACAGAGTTAGTCGTGATTGGGCGAGGCCAGTTACCCCCTAAGAAATTCAAGTCCCAATCTCCTACCCATACCGCTCTTTCCTCTCCAGGGTTGTCTTTATAAACATTTAAGGGTCCTCTCGCTCCAATTGTTTATTCTGATATCCGTACCATTCACTTCTTCCCCCACATAACCTTTTATCACTCTTAATAACCCACCATGTCTCCCGTTGCGCTCGAAAAGGAAGACCATACTCGCGATGCCGAGTTCAACAAGGCCATGCACGGCAAGTCTGCAAAGGCTCGCGGTGGTATGACTGCCATGTTGCAAAAGGACAAGGCTGCCCAACAAGCTGCTGTAGACGAGTACTTCAAGCACTGGGACAACAAAGCCGCTGGCGACGAGACCGAGGAGACACGTAAGGTGTGTATATGTGGCATTTCAACGGCGTACACTATAAATACTAACAAACTCAGGAACGACGAGATGAATACGCCACCCTCACAAGGCACTACTACAACCTCGCAACCGACCTGTACGAGTACGGCTGGGGACAGTCTTTCCACTTCGCCCGCTACGCCTATGGCGAGTCTTTCTACAAGGCCATTGCTCGCCACGAGCACTACCTTGCCCACAAGATGAACCTCCAGGACAACATGCGCGTATTGGATGTTGGCTGCGGTGTTGGTGGCCCTGCCCGTGAGATTGTCAAGTTCGCCGGTGTCAACGTCGTGGGATTGAACAACAACGACTACCAGATCGAGCGTGCCACTGCCTACGCCGAGAAGGAGGGTCTTTCAGACAAGCTCAAGTTCACCAAGGGTGACTTTATGGTAAGATTGACCCGACCCGACTCCCCTCTGTGCCCCTCACTGACTTGTGTAGCAAATGTCTTTCCCTGACAACTCTTTCGATGCCGTCTACGCCATCGAGGCGACTGTCCACGCGCCATCGCTCGAGGGCATCTACAGCGAGATCTTCCGTGTTCTCAAGCCTGGCGGTGTCTTTGGTGTCTACGAGTGGCTCATGACTGACAAGTACGACAACGACAACCCCCACCACCGCGAGATCCGTCTTGGTATCGAGATTGGTGACGGTATCTCAAACATGGAGAAGATCGAGGTTGCGCTTGATGCCATGAAGGCTGCCGGCTTTGTAATGGAGCACAACGAGGATTTGGCGGACAGGGACGACCCCTACCCCTGGTACTGGCCTCTTTCTGGCCAGCTGAAGTACATCAGCACCCTTGGCGACATTCCCACCATTCTCCGTATGACCAAGGTCGGACGTGGAATCATTCACAAGTTCGTTGGTGGTCTGGAGATGATCGGACTCGCTCCCAGGGGCACCCAAAAGACTGCCGACAGTCTTGCTCTTGCAGCTGACTGCCTCGTCGCTGGTGGACGGGAGAAGCTTTTCACACCCATGTACCTCATGGTTGGAAGGAAACCCGCCGACGCATAAGCCTTCGATTCTTGCTTCCCTTTGCATTAGACTTCTCTTCGCATCTAGGACCCTGTTGGTCTGCAGGCTTTTCCTTCGATATAGGAGCATCTTCTCCTAGCATTTGCACGACGCGCTTGGGAGACGCGCATATACACTATAATAATTGGAAGTAGGGCACGGTCTAGGGACGGTCATGGTAACGCGAAACGTGGTGATCATAGAGAATAGAAGAAGTAATCTGCTCATTTAAGCAACATGTTTGAATCATGGCCCAAGTGATTGACTTCATCCGTACTCCGATCAGGAAGAACGAGAGTAATCTATGAGCGTCCCAAGTGTTGAGACGGAATCCAAGATGCAGGTCGGGTGTTCTCGCTATAGTGGGGGCCGTGCACCAGAGCTGGATTGTTAGCGCGTTCAGGGCCCCAACGACTAACTTCGCATCCCCGAAGTCCGAAGAAATTGTACAGCAGAGCTCAGCGGCCATCACTCGCCCACGGCAAAACCTCACCACACCTCCACCCTCACACATCACCCACAATGGCTGCTTCAAGGCTCCTCCGACCGGCCTCCCGCCTCGTCTCGACTTCGCGGCCAGCGCCCGCCTTCCGACCAGCTTTCCGCGCCGCAGCCATCACACCGTCAATTGCAAGGAGAGGATATGCGTCGGGCCAGAAGGAGATGACTGTGCGAGAGGCGCTCAACGAGGCCATGGCCGAGGAGATGGAGCGAAACGAGAAGGTCTTCGTTCTCGGAGAGGAAGTCGCGCAATACAACGGAGCGTACGTGCCCACCACCACTACAAACAAGACGGATGTGACATGTCTGCGATAAGAAAGAGGAGGGTTCAATTGGAGAAGGAGCACATCGCAGGACATGCACAATGAATATCAAACCAACGGCGGTGCTGACTGAGCCACAACAGTTACAAGGTCACAAAGGGCCTGCTCGACCGCTTCGGCGAGAAGAGGGTTATCGACTCTCCCATCACAGAGTCTGGTTTCGCCGGTCTGACCGTCGGTGCTGCGCTCGCTGGTCTCCACCCCATTGTGAGTTTCTGAGCCGCCTCCATGCCCTGAAAAAGCAAATCTGACGGCGACAACAGTGCGAGTTCATGACCTTCAACTTCGCCATGCAGGCCATTGACCAGATCATCAACTCTGCCGCAAAGACACACTACATGTCCGGTGGTATCCAGCCCTGCAACATCACCTTCCGCGGTCCCAACGGTTTCGCCTCTGGTGTCGGTGCTCAGCACTCCCAGGATTACACTGCGTGGTACGGAAGCATTCCCGGACTGAAGGTCGTCTCCCCATATAGCGCCGAGGACGCCAAGGGTCTGTTGAAGGCAGCCATCCGTGACCCCAACCCGGTCGTTGTTCTCGAGAACGAGTAGGTTACAATAGACATGAGATGGAAGGCTCTGTTACTGACAATGGCAGACTTCTGTACGGTCTTTCCTTCCCCATGAGCGAGGAGGCCCAGAAGGACGACTTCGTCATTCCTGTAAGCTACCCCGCCACCCTCCCCACTACGTACAGACACTGACAAAACCCCTCAGTTCGGAAAGGCCAAGATCGAGCGCCCCGGCAAGGACCTCACCATCGTCACCCTCTCCCGCTGCGTCGGCCAATCCCTTGTCGCCGCCGAACAACTCAAGTCCAAGTACGGCGTTGAGGCTGAGGTCATCAACCTCCGCTCCATCAAGCCCCTCGACGTCGAGGCTATCGTCAAGTCCGTCAAGAAGACCGGCCACATGCTCTGCGTAGAGTCTGGTTTCCCCTCGTTCGGTGTCGCATCTGAGATTATGGCGCTTACCTGCGAGTACGCTTTCGACTACTTGGAGGCACCCCCCGCCCGTGTCACTGGTGCTGAGGTCCCCACACCATACGCCCAGAAGCTTGAGGAGATGAGCTTCCCTACCGAGAGCTTGATCGTAGACTACGCTGCTAAGCTCCTCAGGGTATAAGGTTGAGGAAGGAATATAAGAGAATGGCGTAGTGGCTTTGAGCGTTTTGTGCTTGATCGGTACATTGCGTATGCAAGGCGTAGGGCTAGACACGAGGATTTGGGTTTGGTAACTGAACTGGATTTGTATGATCAGACGATTGAACCTACTTTTTCGGCTGAGGTAGACGGCATTTTCGATTGCATGTACAAGTATTCTATTGCAACTCCATCTAACGATTCAATATTGATAACCAGGGTGAGTGCAAGAGAGAAGGGCTGACATGTGCGGATTAAGTGACTTCAGACGAAGCATGAGTATATCTCTTTGGTTATGTCTTACTATCACATGCTGTTCTCAAGGCTTAGATCATCAGCACCTTACCAATATTATGTATCGACCAATACGTGGACCTCACTTATTCCATAACTGGAGGTTTGTAAACAACGCTTCTTCCCTCATCCATTCATTCCACCTTTGTCCTCTCAGTCAGTTTCTTCCTCTCTTTACAGGAATTACTCCCTCAAACGAGAACGAGCTGGCACACAACATGGCACTTCGTTTAAGATGAGTAATACATGCCATGTCGCCTCACAATTGCTGGAAAAGGGTGCAGGGAGAACATGACTGGCTGCAAAACGGCTAGGTCGGCAACGATGAGGCAGATGGTTTTCATCTTCACCTTCATCGGTGAATATTTATTCAACGATGATGGTTGCTGCCACCTGACCCAAACTTTCGTCTGGCATCACAATCCTTTGAAGTTTTTTTACGGACGACAACTGCGACACGGCACTGTGCATGCAAGCGAAGCGAACCCACGATGTCTACTGACGGGCTTCCCGCTGGTGGGCGATTCAACAGCATTAAGGAGTGGCAGCGGGCTCTTTTCGGATATCCGCTTCACCCCGAGCAAGGCTATTATCTGGGCTTTGAACCGTACAATGGTGATCACAAATCAAGTGAGGCAGACCTGGAAGAACGGAACGAACTGAACGCGACTGAAAATGAAAACGGACATCCTAGTGATGACCTAACTACGAACGGCCGCGAACAATGGCTTCAAGAAATGGACCATGCATTTGGCAAGGCCAGAACATGCGCAGATGCAGTAAGTAAGGCTGGGACTCTGTGCAGAGTGGAGACTGATCTACGAACGCTAGGAGATCGTAGTGTCTATTGAAACGGTTGCGCCAGAAGACAAAGTACAGCTCATGAAGACGATCAAAGATGGCATTGATCGAAGCAAGCAAGCTATGGAAAACAGCAATGCCAAGTTGGAACAGGACATCCAAGACGCGAACAGATCTTTCCACGCCGAGATGGATTTAATGAACGAGTGGCACGAGCGCATGAAGGCGCAAGACCTCATCTTGGACAAGAGAAAGGAAATACATGTTCGTTTGCCTACGAACCAAGTCATTACCCCATCAACGCAGGAATTGATCTTGACTTTGAGACAAAGAAGACGGCGATGGTCAGATGTCTCCAGGAGGCTTGCTGGGATCAAAAGGAACTTTTAGCAACAGTAACATGATCGAGGATTGTATTCCAGGAAAGAGACACACGTGGCTAAAAGCACCCGTCTTCACAACCCAGTTCAAGAAGCCAGCAATGTATTACAACTCGATCAAGCACTGCGCATGCGAAGCGCGCGCTCACTGTTTTCGACTGCGTGGTTTCCTTTCGGCATGTTAAATGTAGCTAGAACAGCGCGGATGCACAGGTAATACAAATGTAACAAATACCACTCGAAGATTCTTATGCCCTGACGAGGTGGGCATAATGACATCTCCATGAACCCTTGATCAACTTCGACCTCTGGTTGACGGCATCCCCACACACGGTACCCAACTTCGCATGCACAGTCAGAGTGCCTCCCCCCATCATGCTGCCGATATTTCCCTGAGTATTTCCCGCTTTTCACCTCCTGACTCCACTCTGAACCTGTGACTGTAGAAACGGCACAAAAGCTTCGCAAGAGACCGTCAACATGGACTGGGTAAGCTCAGCCTCTCTATTGTCCTCACCGCGATTAGTGAGCCAAGGCATGAAACATGTCATACAAGTCTACCACCGATGCATGCTTTGTCACCGCTGATCATAAACACTTGATACTAACAGCAAGAACAGATCCGTAAGCGTCGTGGTGAGCGCAAACGCAAAAGACTGGCACCCCGCCGGACATCACTCAACAATTCCCAGCTCGAACTTGATATCGAACAAACACAGAATGGATCGACAGTGGCATCAGCGTGCACGAGATTTTTCTCAATTCGCCGTCAACGAGGTGCGAATACTTGCTTGACACGATACGATCTGCTCGAACAAACTGGTGAAGAACCAGAGTATGCAACCCCAGCAACAGAAGGAGAGACAAATGCGAGACTAGAGCGATCACTTCAATCAATGGAGATAGACGATGGAGAAGAGGTGTTTCGCAACTCATTCGCCACACCGAGTCCATCACCACGACTTCAACCCACTAATTTGGTACCAACTGCCAGCCAGCAAAACGTATTTACCACCTCAAGGTCATCAGAACAGCTACGACCCTCTGATTCAGCATCCAGCGCCGGCCAGCGACCGACACCAACCTCAGAGGCCGACGACGTTACAAGCCAAACCTGGCTTGAGCGAGTAAGCAGCACCATCCGCCGCAAACCCACCATCAAAGCTTTGCAAGCGTACAAGAGCGGGGGCATCCGCTCAGCCTGGGCGTACACTCTTCCCAGAAATTGGAAGACGCGTAATACCGCGGCTACGAAAGCCTGGGTTGATAGTGCCGCGGTGGTTGATGAGCCGCAGCCCACTAGATCAATGGATGATATGGATATCGATGATGAAAGGAGAAGCCCGCTTCCAAGTCACTGGCGCGATGAAGCAGAATCGCAACAGAACTTTATAAGAAGGACAAGTGATGTTGCTGGAGGTGACAGTGAGGTGGGGGATTGGAACAGTCCTAGGGAATCTGGAGATAGGGACGCCCAAGAAGACGACAAAGAGATAGACAAAGAGTTTAGAGACTGGGCGAATCAGCACAAGATGCTGGTTGAGCGGTATGATCCACTTGCTGAGGCAGGTAAACGTTTGTCGGTTTTGAGTCAGACGCCGAAGAACAGGTACAGTGACTATTTTCGGGGATCGTGAAGGGCGGATTGGGACATCGGATTGACCACGGGGCTGGTTCTCGAACCGTCTATTCGAACTCCAGCACAGCACTGACAGCATTTATATCTTTTTCATCCTTCTAGTGTTTCTTAAGGGCACAGGCAACACCCCAAATCGGTTAAATGTGCCACACGTATCCTGGACGAATTTTCTCAGTGCGGATTTGTCGATCATAACACCCTGTACGACTACACTTCCAGCTGCACTCACACCAGGAGCCTACATACTGTTCGGAACAACGACCCGGGACTACGACAGCAGCTGCTGGGAGTAGCGTCAATGGGCATCCTGTATACGAACGTTGCGGACATCCAACCTGGCGTATACATAGTGCAGGTGAAGGCGAAAGAGCCGCGAAGTCCATGTTTTGGTTTTGCATCAACTTCTTATTATCCAAGTTTTGGTTGGCGTTCGAGGTGAAGAGAAGACATGTACCTGCGTTATATTTTTAGTTCTCATTGTAGATAGAGAGTGAAGATCGATACGTACCTTATTGTTATAATACTAGCTATTATTGCCATCTCATCTTCGCACTGGAGGTCATGATACTTCAAGAGCTCATCCCCCTCCAGCTTTTACTCTCTAGCAGATACCACAAACATCTGCTCAACATCAAGAAACCGCTTCACAGCACCAACACCAGCAACACCAGCACAACTCCCTTCTCCTCACCCTTCCACCACCACCACCACAGTAACAGCAACAATGCTGTCAACGCTGAACAAGCTGCGCGTCTTACTGAGCCTGGTGCTCATCGTCATCTTCGCCGCGAGCTCAGATGAGCTACGCATCGCAATCGGCACCCTCTTCTCTTGGGCCCTAGGCCATGTCCTCACACATCGCCTCGCGCTACCGATCAAGTATCGACAAGCCCTCAACACCTACATCCTGGTGTCGTTTTGCCTGCTGGCGGGCCTAAACGACCCTTTCTGCCAAAACACCTTCGGTCGCCTCCTAGACCTCTTTTTCGAGCGAGACCGCTGCGATCCAGACGTGCCTGGGTCGGGCTTCACCGACTGGCACGAGACGTTCCGCCGCCGCAAGGTCTACGAGATTGATCTCGTATGGCAGTTTCTCCGCGCTGTTTTCTTCTGGACGTGCGTGGCGATCTCCCTCCCGATCGTCATTCCGCTCGCCCACTGGCTTTATGCCAACATCAACAAGGAAACGGAGCTGGAGAGGGCTTTTGCCTACATTGAGAAGCATGGCGAGCGGCCGCCGTGGTCGTACAAGCAACCGGAGACCACATTGGTGCGCAAGAGGGATACAAGATACAATCTCATGAGCAGCGAGCTCATCTTCGTCTGTGGTCCTGGTGGAGGGTATGAGACGGTGATCGATGACGACATCGAGGGTGCAATCTCGCGCCGGCGTGCGCTGAGACCAAGATTCGCATGAGCGCTGGTCGCCATGCTGGTGGGATTGTGGTGTCGTCGGCGAGCTGCCTTAGCGCTGGTCGCTGGGGTAGCTCGATCGTTCGAGTACTCGTTCAGTAGAACTCCGGGTTGGTACTAGTTTGGGGTGTTGTCTCAAATTTTACGATCGGTTACGTTCATGAGACTCAGTCCGATTCCAATGGTTGCAGTTGTCGAATGTATGTTCTTTCCTCTCGCTATGCCATTCTCCTCAAATCTGCGTGAAGACCTCTACCAACCTCCTCTTCATATACGAATTGCGTGTCTGGGCTCATGGGGTCGTTGATCATATGGATGGGCATCTGAATCGCTTCACACATATGCCTCATCAAGTCAGGAAGTAATTCGTTGACCTTGGCCAGTAGCAGAGGTATAAACTTCGAGGAGCCACCTGGCAGCTTTGCCAAGAGCAGCATCAACTGCGTCAAGTAATCAGGGGGACTAAGTTCCACTTGCGACGCCGGAAAGGACACAAAAGGCAGGACATCCGCTAGGGCGCAGGCAATGTCGAATATTTTCTCAGTCTAGTTGTGTTAGCAGCAACGCGGACTTGGATGGAAAAAACGCACCATGCCAATCCCGTGAATCTGTAGACTCTGGATAGGAAGCTTCATTGAAAGGATGGTCAAGTCCCGAGCCACCATAATAGGGTATCTAAATGTCAGGCAGTCGTGGACAGAATCCGTAGACAGATAACCAAAGCGAGGAAAAAGTTCCCACAACTTGATCTGTAACCAGAATTGCGATATACGGATATTTGCGGTCTCCTCATTTGAGATCTCGAGTACCACAGGCAACGCAGTACGAACGTCGCGTTCGAGTTTCAGCAACCACTCTTTACTACAATCTTCAGTAGATCCATTCCACACTGCGAAGAAGATATCACTAAGGGGCCGAAAGATTGATGTGAGGTAGCGTAATCCGAGCTCTTCATATGCGTCGAGTGGGTAGGTGGAGAGCGTGACGGGTAGAGTGATTGGCCGATTTCTACGTACACCATGTGCTCTGGAGAATAGTAAGCGCCATGCGTGAACTCACAATCTGTCTAACCTACCTCTCGGAGACCACTAAGATCCAGAACAATCGTTTCCGTGTTTTCTTGTCAAACCAGTCTTGATCCTCATCCTTCAACATCATGAACAGGGTCGTTGCTTCTCTGAGATAGAACCATGCTTGACGGTAGTTTCCTTGGCCAGCGTAAGCCCCGTACAAGAAGAAGGATATGTAAACAGATCGAGGGTCAAGCTGTGTCACCCTGGCTCGGTCGAGAGAAAGCAAAGCATGATCTAAGTAGTAAGTTTTCGGGTTCACTAGTGAAGACTGAGTAGGCCCCCAGCTGGCATCGTCGGTATCGCCAAAATTCGCAATGTATGCACAGAAGGCAAATATGAGCTGACAGGATATTGGCGAAACCTGCATTTTTGTAGCTTCATCTCGCAACACATCGACAGGTAGAAGAGATACCAGTCTATATATACGGTTCTCGTAGACGCCGATGAACTCTCCGAAAACGCTTTGCGTAAATTCTACAGGCGTTGCTGTGGCCGTGATAGCTGACGACGATGAACCATCCTGCGGATCTTCGAAGTTGTTCTGCGAGATTGACCTCAACTCATTGAGTACGGTAGCTCTTGGACCCCTGTTGCCTCCTTGGCCTCGTGGTGCATCGAATGTACATGCTAGGTTTGCTGATAGGCATCCTGCGCAAGGTTGCGAGCCGTTACATTTGGTCTTGCGGCGGCGGCACGCGTCACAAGCCTTCGGAATGACTTTTCGCGCTTTGACGGGGATATTTTGCATCAAGTTCGTTTGTCTACGCGCTGTTTAACAAAATTAGGAGAACAGGCGGGTGGGTTGAGCGGCTGGTCAGACGCGTCCTGTGATAGCCGAGGTAGATTACGTCACATCAACAAGCGCGTGCCTTCTGTCTGGTACGCGTTGAGCGAAGGAGGGACTTCACGAAGACTGCGCTAAATGATTGGAAATTACTCAATTCCTCGATATGGTAAGGAACGGCACTCTACAACTCTCGTCTACGACCCTTCTTCACTCCTTCCACTCCGGGTTCGCAGCGCTCTTCTCATCAGCAACGCGTGCATGCCCGTACGGATCAACTTGAGTGCTAGCAAACTTCCTGGCACTTACCCGCTGCTCAAACAACATGTCAAGCTCACCGTACGTCCGGCCTTTCGGTTCTGGCAGTCTAAAGTACACCCATACCACAACGCAACCACAGGTACCAGCCCAGAAGAACGCTGTTTTCGCACCCCAAGCCCAATTGGCATCGCCGAGCTGATAATTCGTCAAAACGTTGACGACAATGTTCGAGATGTTGTAGAGTGCGCGGGCGAGAACGATAGTCTTCGCTTTCAATCTCGTGGATGACATCTCCGAAACAATTGAGTAGGTTACTGGACCGATCGTGAAGTCGTACACGAAGACGAAAAGAATCAGAACCGCTCCGATGGCCCAATTAGACGCTTGCGTGCCAGCGAAAGAGCATGATCCGACGATGATAAGGATGACAAACAGTGTGCAGCCACCCGAGAAGTGGATCGTTCGCCGGCCAAACTTCTGCATCAACCACCAAGAGCCAGCGGTACCGATTAGGCCAAGGGCCAGCGAGATCATCGACATGTTGAACGATTGCACCGTTGGGAGACCTGCCTTCTGCATGAAATACGCGCTACTCGTTGTTAGCCAGAAACCTTGCTGATCTCAAGTCCATATACTAACAAGTAGCCCATAATGTTGGTCCCACAAATCGTTTGAGCGATCCAGGTAAAGCATACGATTTCGGTCCGTCGGAGATCTGTCCCCTTGAACAAGTCCATCCATCGTGTTCCTTCCGACATGCTCTTTTCCATTTCGTTGGTATGTTCAATCATGGCGATCGTTTCATCGGCGTTGAAGTTTGGGTCTTTATCCGGCGAAGTCAGACGAAGCAATGCAGCTTTAGCGCCTGCCTTATCTCCTTTTCGAACATGCCACCAAGGACTTTCAGGTGCGAGGAAGACACCGACCATGATTGGTATGGGCCAGACCCACTGTATAGCGAAAGGAATACGATAAGCCCATTGGTCCGGACGTTGAACGCAGCCGCGATTTACACCCGCAGCGATGAACTGTCCCATTACCCAGCACCTTGATGAGTTAGCAACCAGCTTTGGGTGGAACAGTCGATCAGGCTTACATGTTGACGAATGTGGTCAGAATCGGCCTCAAGCGTACAGGCGCGACTTCTGATTCGTACTGCGTTGTGAGAGTCTGGAACATGCCCCAGGGTATCCCGCAGAAGACTTCGCCAATGACCAGTGTTTGAACGTTGGGTGCGAAGAAAAGGATGAAGATGAAGGCAGTCATTGACATCAGAGCACCGATCATGGTCTTGCGATAACCATAACGCTCACTGACGAATCCGTTGATGAACAAGCCAATCACTTCACCAGCTCGTGCTCCGTTCGATCTGATACAGTCAGAAAATGTGTTATAACTCGAAGTTGGGTTAATATGAAACTTACAGAGCACTCTGCCAACTCGCCTGAACACTGTACTTACCAGTAGCAGCGTTGAACACCCCGTACTTGCGATTGAACTGAGGGCTGCCGTACAAACTCCCCAACAACGCAAGGTCATACCCTTCCATGATCAGAGCACTCGAGAGGACGACCGACCAGCCGACCGCTTTTGGATAAAGCTTGATCGCTTGGACGAGGGTCATGGATTTCTCATCGTCAGCAGCATGTTGCGCCTCTTCGTTAGGCGCCACGAGCTGTGTTGCCATAGGTTGTCGAAGGTCCTTTTCTGCCATCGTCAGGTTGAGTGGCAGGTGCTGTAAGGAAGAGGCTCGAGTTGATGCAGTATTGCTGAGGCTGTATGCTGGGTTTATAACCATCTACGAGCACAGGTGATCATAGGCAGACTAGGGTCGTCTTTGATGCGGGTTAGCGAGAGCCCAGCAACTCGGACCCCCCATGGTGCCCCAGCTCCGGCAGTAAAACCGCTCACACTGCGCTCTAGATTACTCCAACGGCACAAGATAACGCCACTCGAATTGTGCCCACGAGTCTTTTCGCTGCAAAATGATCGGAGGCAACGCGGAGGTCCTGAATTTGTGCGGCAAAGCATTGGGGTTTTCACGGAGCCAAGGCGGAGGCAACGCGGGAGCAACACGGATGCTGCACTGCGGGGCCAGCACGACTCGCGCGGGCATGCCAACCATTTACAAGCGATCCTTATAACCACGAATCAGAGGTATTATCACAATGAAGTACGTGGGTGGGACTATTAGAGGGTCGGGAAGCAGTTGGGACAATAGATCCCACGAGTTTGCAACCTTCCGCCTCTCTCTTCTAGCTAACCAATGCTTGGAGCTGCCACCATATTGCTACGACTACTCAGTTATCATTGATCAGTTCGTGAAAAGTCGACTGAACAGATCAAATCCCATTTCCGCTTCGTTTCACACTTTTCTGGCTCAAAAGTCATCCTAAGCTTAGCACGGATAGCGAGCTTTCTTCTATCATACTAACATGTCACCACATGTAGACCTTTCATATCATAAACGGGTTTGGTGGAAAGAAGCAACATTCTACCAGATCTATCCCGCGTCATTCAAGGACAGCAATGGGGATGGTTGGGGAGATATTCCTGGTATACTCGAAAATATCAACTATATCGCATCTCTCGGTGTCGATGTAGTGTGGCTGTCGCCCATGTTTGACTCCCCTCAGATCGACATGGTAAGAACTCTGGTGTATGAGATACATATGAAGTCTGTACTAACTCACACACCACAATGTTAGGGCTACGATGTTTCTGATTATGAAGGCGTATATGCACCATACGGCACAGTGCAAGATGTCGAGAAGCTCATCAAAGCTTGCCATGAAAATCATATGAAGATCATTCTCGACCTTGTTGTGAATCATACTAGCGATCAGCACGCCTGGTTCAAAGAAAGTCGAAGTTCAAAGGACAATCCAAAAAGAGACTGGTATTTCTGGCAGCCTGCGCGGTACGATGAGCAAGGAAATCGCATGCCGCCTACCAACTACCGTTCATACTTCGCCGGCGGAACCTGGACTTGGGATGAGCACACAGAAGAATACTATCTTCACCTCTATGACAAATCTCAGCCAGACCTGAATTGGGAGAACGAAGACTGTAGGAAGGCAATATACGACTCGGCAATGCGCTTCTGGCTCGACAAAGGCATCGACGGTTTCCGGGTAGACACAGTAAACAAGTACTCCAAAGTCCTTCCCTTCGCCGATGCGCCCGTCACCGATCCTACCAGTGACATCCAACCCGCCGCCCAAATGTGGTGCAACGGGCCCCGGATTCACGAGTTCATCAAGGAAATGAACCGCGACGTGCTTTCTCATTACAGGACCTACGACGACCAACCCGTCGTAACAGTAGGCGAACTTTCCATGTGTCCAGACCCTGAGTCGGTCGTCCCGTATGTCAGTGCAGCGCAAAAAGAGCTAGATATGGTTTTCCAGTTTGACATCACACATCTAGGCCAAGGTCCACCAGGCTGCAACGACAAGTACGATTTTGCTAAGTGGGAATTACCGGATATGAAGCGCATAGTAGAGAAGTGGCAGTGCTTCATCGAGGGAACCGACGCATGGACGACCGTCTTCAACGAGAACCACGACAATGGCCGGAGTATATCGCGTTTCGCCAATGATGCTCCAGAGTGGCGGGAGAAGAGCGGCAAGCTACTTGCTTTGTGGTTGGTTGGTCAGACTGGATCACCGTTCCTCTATCAAGGTCAAGAAATCGGCATGATTAACGCTCCGGCTTCTTGGGATATGAGCGAAGAGTACAAGGATGTTGAAAGCCAGAACTACTGGGCTGAAGCTGTGAGGTTAGCAGATAACGGCACGGATCCTACACGTAAAGAGAGGATTAAGCTTGGGTTGCAGCTCATGGCTAGGGATCATGCAAGATTACCTTTCCAGTGGAACGAAAGCGCGAATAGTGGGTTTTCGACGGGTGAACCGTGGATGAGGGTGCATGATGAGTATCCTGCGATCAATGCTGCAGCGCAAGAGAAGGATGCGGATAGTGTGCTTTCCTTCTACAAGCGCGCGCTTAGATTAAGGAAGGAACATAAGGATATTTTTGTATATGGATCGTTCGAACTGGTGGATCCAGAGGGGACGGAGATGTTTGTGTACAGGAAGAGGTTCGAGGAGAAGACCGCGCTTGTGGTGCTCAACTTTACGACGAAGGAACAACGGATGGAGTACGATGTCGAGGGCTTGAGGCTGCTGGTGAGCTCGTACGGGAAGGGGATGGAGTCTGGGCTGCGGCCGCTTGAGGGGAGGATCTACATCGACTACTGAGAAGGTGGAGTCAGGTATGTTGGCGAGAACTTGTAGACTTTGTCGATGCGCTATCAAGGGTATACTACAATGCAAAACTCGCGTGCTACTTTCCTTCTATTGTCCCACCCACTTCCCAACGATTGGGAGATACTTGTATAGTTCGTCGTATTCCTTGCCTACCCAGCCCACCATCTTGCCGTCTCTTCCAACAACACCCAAGCCGCCCGCTAGCCACAATGCCGTGAGAGCCGCACTAATTCCGTTGATGGTATACCATCTCCTCTTCCTGACTAACGCCCGGTCCTCTTCTGTCATCTTAACTTGGCTTGGTGCCCAACCCAACCATTTGGCCGCGCCCCAGACGAAGTGCCACACGCCAATTCCTACGAGTGCTGTGAAACCAGTAAACGAAACGGCTGGGTGTAGTGCGAAGCCGTGAGAGATGTATTGGAGGTTGATCAAGGACGAATCTCCGTGTGCATATAGCGGCAGGATACGAGTAGTCCAGACATGGAAGCTGGCAAAAGGTACCAAAGCGTAGCCCAACGCACTCGTTCCACTCAGTTGCGGCCATGGAATTGTGCGCTTGTCAGTTCGTGTCTCCGCACCGTATTTCTTTAGAGCCTGTCTCCTTCTCCATAACCGTAGTGCGATTCCAGATGTAACGTGTGCAACGAGGGGAAGACCAACGAGGAGGGGTTCGGTGAGTGCAGATTGGTAGTATGGCCGTGTGAGCAAGAGGTAGCGATTCGATTCGAGGACAGAGCGTGTTGCAAGCGGTATTATGGAGACGTTTGTTATGTGGAGGGCGGCGAAGGCTGTGAAGGTGTAGGAAGAATACTTTTGTATGCGGAGAACTACAGAGCAATGTCAGCATTGCACCCCTCAACTTCGTGGCAGTGAGAATACGTACGCCACCACGCTGTTCCATGATCACCCAATCGCAGTCCCAATGTGTTCATTCTTCGAATCCCTCTCATCTCCTCTGTTTCCTTCTCAGGTCGTTCCTGTTCGGGGAAATAGCCTTTTTCTCTAAACTCCATCGGTGTGTCTTCGACAGGCGAAGGATCGACTTGTGTAAGGCCCATGACGCCCATCTCTTCGTCTTCTACCGGCGGTAGATCTGGATTGATCTCCATCTTGTGATCTGCGTCGTGGTGGTGCAAATTGCAGTGGTTGGAGAAACGCTACGTTGCTGAGACATTGAATGACGTTGATTCGGTGAGAGAAATAAGTGGGGCTTCGTCGGACCGAGGCGCGTGCAGTTGAGCCGCAACACCAAATGTTCTATCACCACAACGACGCGACTTTACGACCCCACAACCCCACATCCTGCCGACTCGCTTAGGAATCTGTTACAACTGGTGGTTTAGCGCGCTATCAACGCATTTCAAGACCGGCATACACCACATATAGACGCCACCATGCCTCCAGTATGTACTCATCCGACTTACTCTTCCTCGTGCACCCATTGATACAATGCATAGCGAAATAACCCCCTACCGGCGGCAGTCCGCCTGTTCAACTGCGCAATATGCGACAAAGGCTACCCGCGCCAGCTCGACTACGAGAACCACCTCCGCTCCTACGACCACAACCACCGCCAACGTCTCGCTGATATGAAGAAGCTCACTGCTTCAAACGAAACCGAAAGTAGTAAGCCGAAGCAGGGCCTAGAGATGCGGAGTATAGATGTAGAGAACGCGAACAAGAAGCCTGGCGTTGGAAGTCGGTTTACTAAGATCGGTGGAGGTGGTGCTGCGGGTGCTGCGGGTGCTGCAGGTGGCAGGTTTAAGAAGGTTGGTGTTGCTGTTAGTGGAAAGGAGGGTGGTTACGAGGATGTGAGTGGCAAGACTGGAGAGGATACAAAGAAGGTTGTAGATAGCGTAGAAGTCCCTGCTGCTGCTGCAATGCCTATCGTGGAAGCCGATGTCAAGAAAGAAGAGGATGTAGTCATGGCAACTGACGAAGAGGGCGAAGAGATTACTTGGGAAGAGTACGACTTCACAAAGCCAACTGGATGCGATCATGCGAGCTGTCCGGGATGCAAGACGGATGGCATATGGAGCGGCGAATGGATGGCTGTGGATGCCGTTTGATAAGGGGTACTCATTGGTCTTACTTCAACTTCGATACTGTCACTGCACTCTTACAACGAGCAGACACCGCAGTAGTTGAGATTTCATTATATTGCATAGCGCCGGCGTTCAAGGAGTCAGTATGCGGTCCATACCCATGACAGGCTAGAGATTTGTAAGTGTGTTTTATTTGTTCTACGATGTTCATGTTTTCAACTGTTTCTTGTTTCCTGACATCCCGGATTCAATTATTAGATCCTACTCTACCATCAAGAGCAATAGAGAGTCTTACTGGTCTCTTCAAATCCCGCCCCATATTCTTCAACTGCCCCGTGAATTTACCCAATAGTCAATCTCTGTCCAGCTCTTGCCCTTTCGAAAACGTAAGGGAAGAGGCACCAGATGGATGATATAGCGGTCCTTGTACTTGGCAAAGTAAGCACAAGGCCGACGAATGCGAATGCATCTATCATCCGCCGTCTTTTTAGGCTCGCTACCTTCGCTATCATCGGTTCGACTCGGTCCATCACGGATGTATAGACTGCTAATGCAGCATTTTCTCATCATGTACTTTGCCGGGCTGTGAGTAAATTTTGCGTATTTTTGAGCCTTCTTCTTGCCAGACAACCACATCTCTTTGAAATGTCGCTCAAGCTCGGCCCGGACTGGGATAGGAAGGTCGTCCATATTTTTCCACATAACGGGACCCGACGGCCTGGGAATCCGCAGGTGCATGTCCAAGTCTGCCGGTTCGCATATATCTTTCGCTTTTGATTGAACATCAGTCTCGGCTTCCGCATGTCCTGCCTCGCTAGTGATCTCGATGATCTCGTCCTCTTCCTTTACTAGGGTTTGCGCCGCACTCTGTTTGGCGTTCTGAGCTACAATTGCATCGATTCTTGCTCGCTTCGAGTTGTCATCAATCGCTGTGGAAATACTCCGCTTATTGGATGTAGTGACAGATTCCTGAGCAGGGACAGGATGCATAGCAAATGGAGTATAAGCGAGCGGCTGCTGTAAGAAGAGAGGATGTCTGGCTTGGGAGACATGTGGGAGCGATTGGTTTTGTAGGACTATAAGAAGTGAGCTTCAGTATGTTCGCCGACGGTGGCAACGTGGAATCTACCTAGCATCGCGTCTCTCTCGCGAAGGAGAAGTAGAAGGACGTCTTTGACCTTGTCGGTGGGCAGGTACTCAACGAATAGGCCACGACCTGTCTCGTCCAGTTTCTGCAAGGCCTTCAGGAGACCATCGGTGTCAGTGTTGGCGTTCATGCTGTCTTCAGATGACCGTCATCGAGCACTCTCGCGGCGTGCCAGTTTATTGTAACTGGTAGCAGAAATCAAGTTGAAGGGAGAGTGTCCGATATTCTTCTTTTGAGCGCGTTTGTTGCGATCTTGGCATTGGACCCTTCACGAAGGAGCGGTGAATTAACGGCCCTTCACCTTGCCTAGGAGAACGACGTGAGAATTCTAGAGATGATAAACTTCGTCACAGGACGACGCTATTCTCAAACTACATGTAGGCACAGGCTGGCAAAGCTGGATGGCCAGTGGGTTTTCTTCTATTCTTACAATTTCTGGTCACCACCTTACACGCGCGAGTAGACTTTGGGCATTGCCTTAGCCTCTGAACGTTCAGCGTATAGAACCTCTCTGCTTGCCCAGCTATTTTGCCTGTCTCTCAAAATCCTCGTTGGTCTTGTGGGCTTGCCACCGCAAAGGGGTCGAAGAATGCCGATTATTTACACTGGCTCGTCAGCAAGGTATAGTTCATTGTGGTCGGCGTGCTTACTCTATCCAATAGCTGAGCTCAGTCCAGACCTTGCCGACCCGTCTTCCCGGGGGCAGGGGCACGAAACATATATTCATCGAACCGTCGGCCCATTTGACAAAGTGTGCACAAGGATAACCACCTGTTATGCACTGGTCGTCCGCTGTCTCCTTAAGACTGCCACCTATAGTATAAAGAGACCTGCTACTAAGACGACTATTTTTCGAAACGATCAAGGACCGGATACATGCAGGCATGGTCATGTAGTGCTCGGGATTTTGCAACAATTTCTCATAGTTATCAAGTATCCATGGCTGTGACCTCCATACTTCTGCAAACCGGCAGTGAATGTTTTGTTGAACGTCGTTTGGTAGTTCCGTAAAGGTCTTGTAGACCTGTTTCCCATCAACCCCCCGGATTAGAAGGCATACAGGTAGATTGAGATGTCCATGATAGTCCGCTGCAGTAGTATGGATGAAACGGGCTTGTGTCGAACCTTCTCCGATAGGATGAGATGGTAGAAGCATGCCATAACCATTGCCTCCGATACCATCTTGCACTGCTGGGGACTGAGAAGATGATGCAGCCAGGCTGTTACGACTGCTACTCCCAGAGCTAGTTTGCGCCTCTGGAGGTTCGATGGTTTGTGTCCTTTCAAGGTTGGGTGATATATTTGGGGCCGAGACACTGCCAATTCTGCTACCAGGTTGTACTGGTGGAGACTCCTCTCGTTTTATTGGAATTTTTGGCTGGACAACAATATTGGAATCTTCCCACTCGTCGTCACTAACAAGATCAATCGTCTCATGCTCTTGCTTGACTGCCACTGAGTTCAAATTATTTCTGACGACTTCGGTCAGAGAACTATCGGATCTGGGTCTTTTGTGGTTCCGCAGAGTTACCGCGTTATGTGCTCGATTGGTCACATTGCTAGGCTCTTCGCGTGCAACATGTACGGTAGGCTCAGCATAAGGGCTTTGATTCAACTGAGTCTGAATGGCAATGTTTTCTGGGAGTGTTAGTGGAAATATGTTTGGGATCGTGGTGGTCGGACCAACCTCGATCCTGGTCTCGTTCTCGAAGAGCGACCTTGAGAAGCGCAATGAGGTCCTCTTGCGGCAGGAAACCCAATATACGATCACGGCCTGCCTCAGTCAGTCGCTGTAGATCGCCCAGTAGACCGTCGATCCGATCGGTATCACTCATACTGCAAGCTGCATGCTGTGTGATGTGCTCAGATGCCCGTGTCATTGATCGGACCCACGACCGCCACGCGATCACGTGATGCACACGCTAAAGGAGTGGTCTGTGCAGGAACATCGAAGTTCCATCTCATTGCTCTCTCTAGTTGGATAACGTCGCATCTCACAGGTAATACAATCTCAACTCCGAAACACCACTCGTTACACAAAGATGGTATGGTATGAGAACATCTGGCTTCAAAATTGGTCGTGAAGGTTAGCATAGAGGCGTGTTATCAAACTTACCGCCGTGACAACAGCTCTTACCAAAGTAATAAACATGGTCTAGTCAAACGCTAATCATCCTACTTAACTTTACCACCCAGGTTTGCTTCTCACTCGAGCCTCGTAGCATTATCTAACCTATTTAGTGAACCGCGTCTTCAGACTAGGTAATTTCCAGGCTTCCCCATCAAGATAGTCGCAGCAAGTAGCAACCGCTGAAGACGGCTTAGTTAAATGTGGAGTACGCAGATCATACGTAAGGTTTTACGGCCGTAAGGTTTTGCGGCCGTAAGGTCTAAAGCGAGTGTAGACTTCACATAGTTTGCATAGCCGCTAGGCTGATGCTACCCTTGAATTTTACGTCATCGCAGACAGATGTTCAGCCGGTATGTAATGGGGTAACTGAGTAGACCCTCTTTTCTCAGCCAGGACTATCGAGTCCTCAGAACCCAGTAGACACGGCGCAGCAACAAAGCAAGAGACTTAGGCTCCAGCGCTCGTGCAAATGCAATATTGAAAATCACTCATTCCGTAATGACGAACTATATGCTCGACTAAGGCTCAACGCAAAAGGATATGAATGTGTATATTTAACAACCTACTTAAATAACAACACAAAGTCCTCAAATGATGCTATAACTTATGATCATCGTAATACGTGGCGATAGAGCAACTGAAGAACTTCCACCTGCCACTCTTGATCTGCAGACAGCGCATAGCTTCACAACAATGCCAGTAGCACAGAACTCGGCTACTAGCATAATGCTGTTTCGCATGATTCGACTCTCTAAATCATCATCCCCTCACCCTTACGTACGTAGACCGGAGGGCGAGGCTTGGAGCGGAGTCAATCACTAATCAGCCGTAAGGCATTCTACCAGTTTACCCACGACTAATCGTGTTCAAGGATCATGCTTTTGTCGAAACAGTATGTACTGCGACTGAATCACAGCTAGGTTTCTATTCGCTCAAGAAACCTGCGAAACAATATATAAAGCGTCCGAACTTCTCCTATCTACTCAAGCAGAAAACTGTCCCTCGTCAAACAGCCAACTTCCAATTACAATGCCTCTCTGGAGAATCTACTCCCATCCCGACACCTTCACTCTTGATCAGAAGAGAGGCATCGCCGCCGCAATAACGAAACATTATGATGTCCTACCAGCCTTTTACGTCGATGTCATCTTCGTCGATTGCAAAGAGGGGAATGTATGGGTTGGACCAGAATCAAAGACGAATTTTGTTCGCATTGTCGTAGAACAGATTGCACGGGCAATGCCAAGTCCAGACACTGCAGAAGGTCGAGCATGGCGTACTGGATGGATGGACAAGATCAACGAGGTATGTGGCTGGCATACGTTGTGTCACGCAGAACACTCTAAGTTCATACGTAGACTCTTCGTCCATACATACTCGACAGAAAGGAGCTTGACTGGGAGATGCATATCTCAGAGACTCCGCGGGACCTGTGGCGTGTTCAAGGCATCGATCCCCCGCCAACGGATTCTGAGGCAGAAAAGTCTTGGAAGGCAAAGAATTACGCACATCCCTACTAAACTCTCGATACTATCGGAAATGATCGCCTTAAGTATCGAAACGATAGAAGAGCCAATCTCATACATGATAACCACGATTTTGCGCTCCTCCAGCAATATTGCTCCCAGTGAAAACTTATGAAATCTTCGTGTTGTGCTGCGAGACGCTGTGCCAACCGAGTTAACTGCCAGCCCTGCTCGGATGCAAGACTGCTATCTTTATTCACCTCGACCTGAGTAAGCCTGTTTTGCCGCCTAGGTGATTGCCTTGATACATTTGTTGCTTGCGAAATGATTCGATATACAAGGGTGTGTAGCAATTCTGTCTTATCGTGCTGTTGCTACAGCAAGCCCAGGCAAACTTGTCGCATCCAAGAAGCTATTTATATGTTCAGTCCCAATTTTAATCTCACTCTTCCACTTGACCGGACCGCGCACTTGGAACATGACGACAACTTATCCACATGAATCTGCCCTTGGCACTGAGCGCATTACAGTATATGCTGACACACTTCTCAGCCTGACGAAAGGCAGACAATATAGCAATCTCCCATGTTTCAGTAACACTCGAATTCTAGCATTCATCCACCAACTAACAGACAAGCAACTTGATTATGTCGTCGCCAGACTCTTACAGCTTGGCCACGATAAATCGGTGATTAGGCATCACGTGGGCGACTCGGATAAGACTGAGTTGGGTGAGCGTAAGTAGATCCGACCACGCTCAAAGCTGTAAAGTCTATGCTGACATCATGTCTCATCCTAGTGACTAATCAGGAATTTGGCGAGAGAATAGCAACTTATTGGAACGAAAAAATTGATGACACCAATGACAGAACACATGATTGGAGAAGATTGATCAGGGAAAAAGTGCTATTCCGTTTGCTTGACTCTTGTGTGGCGAGACATAAACTTGATTCGACACGTAGTAAGCCATCCACATAAGCGAACGCGCATTTGATACTGACCATCAGCAGCGGTCATATTGCCCGAAGATAATCCAGGCTGGGCTGCGATATGTGCTAGGAGGATTATGGAAAGGATCGTCCCAGCAGAAACGGACAACGGTGCCCCAACGACAGTGATAGTGACGCAGCAACCAGATCGGGAAACAGGGCTGATGGCAGACAAGGATGGTTTGGCTTTGATTCGAACGGTGATCGACGAACAGAAACATAACTCGTACGCTTGATGAAAGTGCTAGTGGAATCATCCGGGCGATTCATAGAATCTCATGTAGACTTCCGACAACTGCTCTTGCCTCGTCTTGCAGACGCTTCACCAGACTTCCAGCATCCTCGACACTATGCACTAGGCCGACTGCAGCCCCAGCATATGTAGCTAGTCTTCCCTCTGGTCCCCATCCAGCATCTCCCGACTTCTCAGCTTCGTCATGAAGTCTCTTCAGCTCCTCAAACGAGACACCCGCTTGGTGATCATGCCAGCTTTTATTCGTAATGCCGCGGGGGCTATACTGCTCGGGCCAGCCCATAGTGCCTCGTAGATGGTTGTATAGCATCGTTTTGGTCGTGCTTTGAGCACCATCCGTAGCGCGTACAACTTCGTTCTGATAGCCTTTGCTGATGCGGGCTTCTGTAGATGCGAGGAAGCGTGTACCCATAGCCACGCCATGAGATCCAAGAGCAAGTGCAGCAGCGATACCGCGGCCATCAGCGATTCCTCCAGCGGCTATCAATGATATTCTTGAATCGCGAACTTGATCTGCGACTTCGGGGAAGAGAGTCATGATGCCCATACCGTCTGTTGCCCTTCCATGACCACCGGCTTCCGCACCCTGGATGACCAGTACATCTGGTCGGTGAACGCTATTCGCAGCCTCTACACTCTCCTTCAGGGTACCAGTCTGAATCCATATGTGAATACCAGGCGATGCCTCACGAAGACTGGCTGTCCATTCGTCCAGTTCGTCTTGTCCCCTTCGAGGAGCAAACAGCCATGCAGCGCAAGGATGATACTCTCCTACTGCTTTGGTTGCTGACTGAAGATCTCCGTTCCAGAGCTGGAATCCTACACCCAGCGGTAGTGTCTTCCCAGATTGATATGAGTCTGAAAAGATAGATCCCGGAGTCTCGCTCAGCAGTTCGCGTACCGTTTTAAGGTCTTTAGCTGTATCTTCAGGCTTAGCACCGGGGCCAATGAAACCCAACCCACCAGCTTTGGATACTTCGAGAGCTAGGCGGGGACCAGCCATGACGCGCATCGGTGCTCCGACAATGAAAGGAGATGTGATCCAAGGGAAGACATTGGTGAGCTTCGTGCGCATCCTGCCGGAAGTCATCGCGTTGCGTATTGGATTCATATCTACGCTCTGTTGTTACGAAGAATCGGGTGCTGATATCATTTATAGTCATGAAGCGAGGTTCATGGTCGCAACGTGAAAACTGGTAAGCGCAGTGCCTATATAGGAACTCTGATGCACGAACTAGCTTCGTACACCACTGTTCCAAGCTTTACCAAAAACCAGATATCGCGGATTGAGAGGTCTTAAGACTTTGCGATTCCTACCAATGCTTGGAGATTCTGCGACTTTTCCACGGAGAAAGTGAGTTCAGCGCGTTTTAGTTACGTCAAAGCACGCGATGAGAGGAGCGCTCTCGCGTCAAGGGCGCGTTCAGATGACTCGCGAGGGCACGGGCCTACTTTTACCTCCAGCACTCGATCGAGCACCTGTACCTACCAAAGTGATATCGCGCAGTCGCCTTTGTGAGTATGGGTGAAACCAGACTCAGAAACAACGTCATCCAGATGTGACAGTCGTGTCATAGACAAAGCGGACCGAACGAGATCCTTCCGATCTTCCTCCTTCCGGTTTCGTCCGCAATTCGCGAGTAATAGTCAGAACTGTGACGACGAGAACTCAGAAGGAGCTTGGGCAATGGAGTGTCGAGAGTAGTTAAGATAAAACCTACATGCCCCGCCGTTGTGCTAGCATGTCAGAAATATCAGAAAGTCAGAAGGCGTAGGATTGTACCCGGTCGGCCTGACCCGGGGAGTCAGTATGGACGCAACTCCGTATCTTGAGCACGACGTGATTGTCAATTGAGGTCAATGTAGAGGCTTGTTCGACACGTGTTCGGCACCAAGCATTGGTTATGGATACTATCCCTGCACAGCTTGGAACCGGACGAACACTCCGCGTCCTTCCTACTACTTATATATCGGTCGCAAGATAGACTTTCCCGAGCCATCTTCATCAGACAATACCACAATCTTGGACGAAAAGCAAATCAACCTTCATTCAAACAAAATGGTTATTAAAGTAGGACTTATTGGTCTCAGTTCCGTCACCACCAATGTCTCCGCCAGTCCAGGAGATAGTTGGGCCGCAAGGTACATACACTACCTTTCGGGTATCTAGCTGGAGTCAAACTAACCCTTGTACTTAGCGCCCATCTACCATACCTACTCGCCTCGCCACACTACGAAATAGTAGCTCTCTGTAACTCAAGCGTCAAGTCAGCGCAAACAGCAGCTCAGCGCTACAATCTACCGTCCAGCGTCAAGGCCTATGGTAGCTCTGAGGATCTAGCTAAGGACCCCGATGTCGACCTCGTCGTCTGCTCGGTTCGGGTGGATAGGCATCACCAGTTGATGATGCCTGTCATCAAGGCAGGCAAGGATGTATACGTCGAATGGCCACTAGCATCCAACCTCACTCAGGCTACAGAAATGTACACGGCAGCCCAGAAGAGCGGCAGCAAGACCATCGTCGGGCTGCAATCCCGCTCGAACCCCTATATCCGAAAAATCAAAGAGCTGGTAGCAAACAAGACCGTTGGAGACCTCCTCAGCTCGACACAGGAATTCACTCTCGGTTGGGTCGGCGACGTCGAGCCCCCCGCAGTCGAGTACTTCACCAAGAAAGAAAGCGGTGGCAACTTCCTCACAATTCTCTTCGGTCACACTGCAGACCCCGTCTTTCATGCGTTAGGCGGTTTGGAAGAACTTTCCGCGTTATTGACGACCCGCTGGCCTGAGACCAAGCTTTTACACGCAGATGGAAGTTTCGACCGTCTGGTCAAGCGCGAGACGCCCGATCACGTTATGCTGCAAGGTACTCTTAAGAACAATGGCGCGCCTATCTCGATGACAGCAAGGAGTGGCAAGGGATTCAAGGACTCGCCGAACCTTGTATGGAGGATCTTTGGCACCAAGGGTGAGATTCGCTTAACGTCCGCTGCGATGCTTACTCTAGCGCTTGGTGGAGAGAAGATTGAGGTGTTTGATCATGAGAAGGATACAGTGGAAGTGGTGAATGTGGAGTATGCTGAGGCAGTGAAAGACTTGTCGCCTTTTGCGAAGGATATCGGTATGTTGTATGAAGGCTTTGTCAAGGGGTGGGGTGTAGAGGAAGGGTTTGTCAACTTTGAACAAGCGGTTGGTATGCACAAGATTATTGATTGTATGGAGAAGAGCAGCGAAGAAAGGAAATACAAAAAGGTAGCGGTCTGATGCAAGGCAAGGTAGGGTGACATACGTCAAAAGCAATGGATAGAAGCATTAAAATCAGCTCGTCTTGAGACGGGAGTTTCCAGTCATTCACATGAGCGGATAATGCGCATATACATTGAGTTTGATCTAACTAATATCCAACACTATCATCACATCACCATCCGTGGTATATCCAAAAGTCTCTACCACTATCCGTGAATAATCATAAAATGTCTGCCGACCTCAAAGTCGACAGCTAGCTAGCGCCGTGCTCAAATGGCATTTGCCAGAAGGGTATCCAAACCTTAAACAGAAAAGAAAAAGCAAATCATCGCCGCTCATTGAAGTGGTTCGCCAGAATCATAAATGTCGTAAACTTAGTAAGCTTGATAAACTCCCTGCCGCACATGGTCAGGAACAAGTTCTCTCTACTCGCGCAACAAGCCGCCAATGCCAAGACCTACACCTTGATCGAGCCGTCCGCGCTTGGGCGGACTTGTTTGAGTGCGGAGATCCGCTGTCGAAGGCATGCGACCGCGCTTCAATTCGCCTGCACGGGTGAGGCCGGAGCCTTTCTTGACTTGGCCGAAGATTTTGGTTTGCACGAGGTTCGCTGGTTGAACTAGTGGTGGTGCGGACATCATGCCCTTGGCAGGTGGTGCTCTTTGCAGGAGACTTCTTGCCATCTGGCTGGCTTGGGACTCGGGCACCTCATCTTCTTCACGGTCAGTGAAGGCTTCCTCTTCATCGGCACTGGACGCGGTAATGGTCGAGTTGCTACTTTGACGACGCGTGTTTGATGGCTTGGCCTGGTAGTGCGCTGGGGGAGCTGATTGTGGAATGTTGGTTGGGACAAAAAGTGGCGGTGTGCGGGGCACTTCGGCGCGGGGGAACGCAGCTCTTCTGTTTGGTGTTTGTGGCAGCGAGGACATGGACTGTGCGCCTCGCTGGTGACTGAAACGTGATCGGGGTGCATATTGCCTGATGGGCGTTGTGGGAGCAGTAGCTACCTCCTGGCTCAGCATCTTGTCGGCTAATAGAAGAGCTTCGAAGTTGTTTTGACCCCTGCTTTCCTCGGAGAGGTGTGGCACTCTGTTGAGGACGTTTCTGGGAGTTGGCTGATGTGGGGTTCCGTAGTTTGATCGTGGCGAGGATTGCTCGATCTGCTCAAGAAGGGGTGCGATGTGATCGCGGTTCTTGCGAATCCTCGTCTTGAGTCGATCATTTTCATCCAGGACGCTAGCAAGCTCGCCTTCTCGGTGCTCGGTGACACGCTTTTGCTGCTCAAGCATATCGCGAAGCTCCTCATTTTCGCTCTGCAACATCTGATTCTGGCGGCTCATTTCTGATAGCAGAACTGTGTTGGCTGCGTTTGCCGACTCTTGGTAGGTTTGTTCTGGGGTCACCATGTTGTTTCGGCGTTTCTCTTCAGCTTGTTGTAGAACGTCAAGCTCTCGCTGAGCCATAGCTAGCTCGACAGCCATTCGACTTGCAGACTCCTGGCTCTCCATTACAGCCATATTGTACTGAAGTTTATAGTGCGCTGCGGAGAGCCGCATGTCGCGCAAGGCGTTAGAGATGTTGTTGACCATGGTTCTCAGCTCCTCGGCGGAGGCACTGTTGACCTGGTCTTGTGGGTAGAGACCTGCACCCATGTCTGTCAAGGCAGACGGCTGGTTGGGCAACTTGCTGGTTGGTGGGGGAGATGTGAGCTGCGGAGTTGGAGGAGTAGGCGTCCTCATGGCTGCACGAGTACCAGGGATCTGAGAAGAGGGTGGAGGGGTCATAGAAGACGTAGTCCGGGGTGCGGGGGAGGTGAATTTGACTTGATCTGGGGACGCGAGTTTTGACATGGCAAGTGCTGCCGACTCAGCAGGCGACGGAGAACAAAGCTTTGGTGGTGTTTCAGGTTGCGCATTCTCGGTGGTAGGCATCAATGAGTCTTGCGACGGTAAGTAGTGCATTGCTTGTGGATCCATTCTGCCTCAGGCGCAATTGGCCTAAGCAGTGTGCGACAATCAGAAAGATGCAGAGGCTGTGCCTGGTCGGAAAGATGGCGTGTGGTCGAGCAGAAATTTGCTTTGTGCAATCCAACTCTGATACGCGGGAATTGTGGTGTCAAAGAGCTTGAGTATGTAGCGTTGGCGGTGGGTGACGCGGTTTAGCTAGGCGACGAAGACGATAGCGGTGGTAGCAGGGGTGCGCGTCGATGCGCGTTTGCCAAAGAAGAGTCGCGGGGATTATACGACGGTGATAGCGTCCAAACGGAAGTGAACAGGTGTTTGGAGGCGACGTGGCTCTTGCGGAGGGTAGTGTTGGGTGTGTGGAGGGACAATGTCGTCGGTGCGGAAGGCGCGTGGAGCGAGGTTGGAGCGTTGGAGGAAGGACCCGCCGGTCGTCCCTGCTCAACCAACCGGCGCTAGGCCAGACCTGTCAGTGTAGTGGAAACATGAACACTCCCTCTGGTTTCACGGGGCAACGGTCGCCTCCCGCTCGCTCAGACGCCCCTCTGCACCCGGCGCGGAGAATTGCCCGTCGAAAAGCAACCTGGCGACAAGTGGAGGACCCTTAATCTGGTTGGACGTGTGTTTCGCCTGTGCCGCGCAGTCTGCATGAACGACTTCCCAGCCCTTAGGCGTTGCATCGTATAGCGCGCGACACCATCGCCATGGACCCGTCCTCGTCCGCATCGCGCCCGTCTGGCATCCCCAGGCCGGCACCGGCCTCGAGGTTACCAGTACTCAGGCCTTCCAACAGCCATTCCCAGCTACGCGCACCCGCGTCGACGGAACAATTACGCAAGAAGCCGTCTCTCTCGTCCATCTCGCGCCCAACCACATCGACACTACAGAAGAAGTCATCGAGGGCATCGCTCGCCTACTCCAGCAACCCCCTGACATCATCGGCTTCTCCTGCACCTGCGCCTGCCAACTCGGGCTCCAACCGGACATCCGTCGCTTCCTCATCCACTTCTTCCCGCCGAGTGAGTGGAATCCCTAGCTTTGGCTCACGACGAACCTCGACTATCGCCCCACCTACCAACGACGCGCCCGTCTTCAAGCGACCATTCGCCCGTCCACCATCGCGTCAGACGAATGCTTCGCGGCCCGTCTCCTCGTCAAATACTCCCAAGGAAGATGATACACTGGGGAGCCTGGAAGGCTTTAGGTCAGCCTCGAGGGCTTCCTCGCGTGCCAGTTCGAGGGCAGGGTTCCGAGACAATGAGCACTCGCCCGAACTTGTTGAGACGGCCATCGATGATGGGCTCATCAGTCCCGTGAAGCCTGAGAAGAGGAAGAGCCGACCGTCGCTCTCGGAAAGGACGATAGAGAGTCTGTCTAACCTGCCATCGTCGCCAGCACCGGGAAAAGGAAGACGCCGCTCAAGCTTCTTCAATGCCGACAATACCATGGCTCCGCCGGTTCGACCGGCTTCTGCCATGTCCAACGGCAATGGCAGCAGGCCATCCACCAGTGATGGTGCCCCGCATCCAATACCCGCTACACCGAAGCGATTCGGTGCACCCTCAAACAGACTGTCCATGACTGCACCTGGAAAGAGAAGCGTTAGTGCGCAGGTCAGCACACCTGTCGCGACCCCCAGCAAGCGTTCCTCGATTCTACAACCGGTGTCGACCGTCAAGAAACAGCCATTGGCTCCAGCGCAGAACTTGCAGAACACGCCTAAACCACGCCCGTTGACGAACAGCAAGAGTCTCACTATGCGAACACCCAGACCTCGGCCATCTCTGAACAATGTCTTCGGTCAAGCGATATCGCCTCCCGGAACCGCTACATCCTCGCCTGCCCGAGACACCCCTGTGAAGAAGACACCCGATACCGTCCGGAGGATGCCGAGCTCTTCCACAGCCCTTCGTGACCAGATTGCGAAAGCGAGGGCCGCGAAGAAGCAAGATATTGAAGAAACACCAGCCGAAGCAGCCCCCAAGCCAGCAAGCTCTTCTAATGCTCTGAGGGAACAAATTGCAAAGGCCAGGGCAGCTGCGAAGCAGCAAAAGACCGAGCCAACTAGAAACAATACACCGCCCACCGACATGATCATACCTGACCCTGCCGAGATTGCGACTTTTGACTTTGGCCTCGACGACGACCCTTTCAATCAGCACTCCAAGGGCGGCAAGTCTGTCCTACGCAGACGCATTGATAGCGCTCGATCAGACGGTCGCTTGAACATCGCCGCGATGGGATTGAAAGAAATTCCTGACGACGTACTTTCCATGTATATTTATGACCCCAACGATACCAAAGTAGCCTGGGGCGAGGTTGTAGATCTGTCTACTATCCTAGCTGCAGACAATGAGCTTGAGATACTTCCGGACAGCATGTTCCCGGATGTATCAGTTGAAGACATGATTGATTCGGACGAGGCAGGCCCTCAATTTGGAGGAGTGCAGAGCATCGATTTTCACGGTAACATGCTGCGAGAGCTGCCTGTAGGCCTGAGACGACTGACGCAGCTCTCAAAGTTGAATCTGGTAAGTTCCAACATGGGGAAAAAATTACAATCGCTCAGCGCTAACTTTGACAGTCACGAAACAAGCTATCCATGGAAATGTTGGACGTTGTCGCTCAAATCCCGACTCTGCGGGAACTGAAGCTGGCGGAGAACGATCTCAGCGGAGAACTCTCCTCAGCGCTATGTAACCTCACAGCGTTGGAGGTCCTTGAACTGCAGTCGAACAAGTTGACAAGTATACCTGCAGACTTTCAGCGTCTGACGCAGTTGCGGATACTCAATGTGTCGGAGAACCAACTTCGATCCATTCCCAGCGAAGTTTTTTCTGCGACTCTTATCGAGCTTCAAGCATCGAAGAACCGCCTTGAGGGCGCCCTTCTCAGTCTGGACTCAGTGCCTCACCTACAGGAATTGAACGTCGCGCAGAACTCGTTGACATCTTTGTGCGATGAGGACTCGATCGATCTGCCTGCTATCAAGACGCTCAATATCTCTACGAACCGACTGAAGTCGTTACCCGAAGTCTTTACTTGGGTTAGCATTACCACGCTCTTGGTTGGGGAGAACAAACTTACAACTTTGCCGGAAGGCTTTACGACGCTCGAGCAGCTACGCACTGCAGACTTTACGGGCAACGATCTCATTCAACTTGACGAGAAGATTGCTTTGATGGAGAATCTGGGACATCTTACAGTTGCAGCGAACCCGTTGCGCGATCGCAAATTCCTGACTATGGGCACCGATGAGATAAAGCGCGATCTGGCATCGCGACTGCCTGCTACTGAGCTTCCACCTGATGCGGATGAGGACTTCGAGAACGGTGTTACTGAAGAGGCCCAGCCAAAATGGCAGCTTACACCGTCGGGTACAGCAGACCTCGCAGACAAGAATTTGTCTGAGTTGGAGTTGGATGAGATCACCCTAGAGGTCTTCACCAGCGGATTGCGACAGCTACAGCTACAGCGAAACAAGTTCGACATCATCCCATCTATATCAGCGCAGTTCGAGCACCTGACATTACTGGATCTGTCCAGGAACAGCATTGAAGTTCCTCTTTCAGCACCCATCGAACTCCCTCAGCTTCGCGATCTCCGTCTTGCCAGCAACAAGATCAACTCTCTGACGCACCTCACAACCTATCTCACAGCGCCTATGCTCGTTACGCTTGACGTATCAATTAACCGTCTCGCTGGTGCCCTTCCGACGCTTCACGTAAGCTTTCCCTCACTCACGACCCTCCTTGCTTCCGACAACAAGATCTCCGAAGTGTCTGCCGAGAGCTTGCAGAATCTCAGGATCGTAAACCTAGACAACAACGATATCGAGCGTCTGGAACCTCGTATCGGAATGCTACAGGGCACGTTGACAGGCTTTGCGGTAGAAGGAAACAAATTCAGGGTACCTAACCGCCAGGTCCTTCAAAAGGGCACGGATGCCGTATTGACATGGCTTCGAGACAAGATCCCAAGGGAGAGTTGGAAGAGTGCGGACAGTACCTCGACCGAGTTCTTCGATGCAGACGACGGGAGCTTTTGATTCTTCATTGTTACACTCTAGGGCTGTGGTATAGGTATTCTTTTCGTGTCGTGTCTTGTTAATATGGGGTTGTTCTAGAGTGCACTGATATAGGTTGACTTGTTTGGATATACTGTAGCGTTTTATAATCTCTTCGTGTACATAATGTGCTCGATACGAAAGGGTACTCTAGGGGTTTCTCGGTTGTTAGTTATGGTTTGTTCCGAAGCAAATGCAGCAAAATATTTCTCAGGACGAAGGTCTCAACATTAAATCTGAGCAGAATAATTGCAGTTTCATCGTGGCGACTGTATTGAGTGACTAACTTGGCAGGAGATGTACCATGCAGTATGACACATGAGCTACGAATGCGACTTGAGAATATTAAGTCATTGTAGTCATCGCATGGTATCTCGCACGCGACCAACATCCGAAGTCCTTATCGTCTGGACTACAGTTAGTTCTGGTAGCCCACTAATGTTGTTGGTGTTGCACGCAAACCTTAGCTTTAACCACGCTAACGCCGGCATAACGTATCGCCGAAAGGTCGGTTCGCACACGCTAGGCGCCCTTCGAAATTGTCGAACTTCGAGATTTCCTTCCGACAGCCGCACGAAAACTAACCCACAGGTCAGCCATCGCGGTACGTTTACCATATCCAGGGCGCGCAATCGATCGAGCGCAATCGCACACATTCGCCATCGAGACTGCGCGCCTCTCCAAGATCACACGAGCGAAGGACAAAGGCTGATTAGGGCAGACAATCCGACACAATGGCCATCAAGCACAACCAGCAGATTCAGAAGAACCATTTCCACAAGGACTGGTGAGTTGCATTTGGGTATTGGGCACGTCAAGGCATTGTGCTAACTTCGATCAGGCAACGCTACGTCCGCGTGCACTTCGACCAGGTAATTCCCCTCTCACGTCGCTGAGAGTAGTGGCGCCTGTGTGCAGATATCTGACAGTGCAA